AAAATTTTAAATTATTTATAAACATATCTACAAAAAAGACATTAAACATCCCCAAACGTTTTTAAAGCCACAAAATAGTAGAAAGTTGGGCCAAAGTTCTAGTGATAAACAATAGATAATTTAGTTACAAACCCTCGGAAAACTTTCAACTTTCCGTCCCTAACACATGTTTCGGGTGGAATACATTTATTTGAACTGCGTCTAAATTTCCAAACGATGTTTTTGTTTTCTGTTTATTTAATGATTAATAGAATCCAGCTTTACTTTGCTCAAACCTATTCAATGAAATGAGTTAAAATTAGATAGAGTTAAGATACATCGACAGTGGAAAATGGCAGAAGGAGGATCCAGGCAGGATCTCATGGCTTCCGATATATGAAGGTTTATTATACAGATCGGCAACAGGGAGTATAGTCATAGGTTGAATGAGTAATTAATACAAAATCGCCTGCCAAGTGTGATGATTAGGTAAGTAATTTAGTAAGTACATAAGTTACGTCTTGTAGAAAAAACTACATAGCGTGAAATAGTTTTCACTCGTTTCGTAAGTAGCAACTTAGAGAAAGGTCCACCTACTAAACGTGAGTTTACTATCGTATCGAATGTGTTTCGTCATATATTGATTTTGGATGACAAAATATAGTTCCATTTCCATTCGCCAGGGGCGATGACGATACGAAAACATTAGTGTCAAATGCTCATGCAACGGATACCAGACGCCGTGTCGATGCGTTAAAAAGTGGAAGGAAGACATCAGATGGAAAACTTGTTTATAAAATTTGCATGTGAAGGCAATTTCTGGGTTGAAAATAGAATAATTTACACATGCTTGGCGTGCTTGTTGATTTAATGTACTATGCTCTGTTTTAAATAACAGTGACCAAACTTACAGTAGAACAATTTTATACTGGATTCCCTCGTAAGCGACCAACTTCGCACTTATAAACAGTAGTACTGCTGTAAGAGATAAATGGAACGTAGACTCCGAGACCAAGCACTAATTCGCGTCACCTGGTCTTTTTCATCACCGCACATTAGGGCTTCTTGGGATTTCTTTGAAATGTTTCTTAAACACCTGAAACTAATGATTCATTTGTACTACTTATACATAACGTTACGCAAATGTATTTATGCGATACGAGATGTTTGCTACTTCGCTATTCCGCCTCCTAAACGTTGCGATTACGGCAAATTGCTACCAACTATATAATAACTGTAGTCTGGATATATAAAACGATCAACGCAAGTACTGTGGCAGCTTTCTAGAACATCCGCTGTTTTGCAACGTCATATACATTAATTAGTTTTACACAACGTAACAGCAAAATAACTGGCACTGGTATGAAAACTTAGACAGACTTGTCAATATTACCGGGTTATTATCCTTTTCTGTCTTGGAGTCCTCTGGGTAGTTACCATCATCTTACCTGGCATTGCGTTACTATTGCAATACAATACATTATTTTTATTTCCAACCTACCTGCTAAGGATGACAACAATGGCAAATTCCGCCCATGAGGCAATGTATGGTGGCGACTTTTCTTTAGCAGAGGGCTTTTATAGCCTGTAATGGATGGGATTGATGGATCTTTAACCATTAGGCTCTGCATTACAAGATTTTGAAGTAGTTAATGACTTCGTATTAATATCTAAAGTTTTTCTATGAATTTGCTGGATTTTAAGAGAAAATAAATAAAAATAAGATCGAAGCATGATGAAATGTTACAAAATAACTTACACAAATAGCACGTGGTCCTTCACTGCTGGCCGTATGAGGAAGCTCAAGGTCGCTCAGCGAGCTATGGAGAGGGCTATGCTCGGAGTTTCTCTGCGTGATAAACTTAGGAATGAGGATATCCGCAGTAGAACTAGAGTTACCGACATAGCCCAACGGATTAGTAAACTGAAGTGGCAGTGGGCCGGCCATATAGCTCGAAGAACCGACAACCGATGGGGAAGAAAGGTTCTCGAGTGGCGGCCTCGTACCGGTAGACGAAGTGTAGGGCGTCCCCCCACGAGATGGAGTGACGACCTGGTCAGACATGCAGGAAGTCGATGGATGCAGGTGGCTCAGGACCGTGTTTTGTGGCATTCTTTGGGGGAGGCCTATGTTCAGCAGTGGACTTGTGAAGGGCTGTAATGACAATAAAATAATATAATAAAATAAAATAAAATAAAATAATAAAAAATTATAGTTGACAACCATAGTTTTCAATTATTTTGCGTTATTATTGGGAAGATGTTGCGATCAATCATTTTGTTTTATTTCCCTTGCTGTTCCCTACGACACTCCCGGGATAATTTAGATATTTAGTAACCGGGTGTTTAAGATGTTTAATTAAAGATTTTAATCGATTGTGTTTTATGTCATAACTCTAACTTTTATAATAGTCCATTCCTAAAGCATTATTCACAGCAAAACCTGTTCATTATTTATCGCATTTAATTTTCAAATTAAGCATTTCTTTTTGGTTACACGCTTAATCCGCATCGCATGGCTTACATAATTAACTATTTTGTCACGGTATTTTAGAGGAAAGACCGCGTTCAAACACTGTTTGCATTCTTAAATCATCCATGAAACGTAATGCTCGTAAAATTATCTATTAAATAATAGGAATATTAAGAAAGAACTTTATTTTATTTATAATATTTATTTTAATTTAAGCATAATATTTTTTTTTATAGGATAAGGGTGACAAACGAGCACACAGTCCACCTGATGGTAAGTGGTCGCTGTGGCCCATAGACATCTACATCTATCTTCGACTAAGAGTCAAAATGCAGATGCGTTGTCACCCGTGAGGACTAAGATGGAATGCCTCGTTTCCAGTAAAAAGGGTCTCCGGTTCTCTACACTCACCATACGAAACACAGCAGCGTTAACCTGCTATTTTCCGCTGGTATTCTGTGAGAGCGTGGTCCTTCCCCGGTCGAGCCGACCCATTCGTGCTACAACCATAATATAGATACAGCATGGCTCTACCACGTATAAAATGATAAATGAGTTAGTTATTTTTTTGAATTTCAAGTAAAAGTTAAGGTCTCTCCTTGCAGGAACTATTAAAGTTATCGCTACCTGCACTTTAGAGAAAGATTGTCGATTGTGGTACCAGAAATCACGCACACAGATGCTATTTCCTGTCTTATTATATTATCTCAGGCGAAAGGCTTACATCGGCCATGAAATATTTCTGGTATTTCTCCTAGGCGCACCTTGCAATCTCTATACCACATTATACAAAGGCAGTTCGTTTAATGTCGTAAAATAGTTTTAATTATGCAATTGTTTTATTCCTGACAAAATAAAAAAAATAGTCTGTAAATAATGAATTTAGTAGACTCATCATAATATACTACAGAAGTTTTTTTTTTAAACTGTGAATACTTATAAGACTACAGTCATTAAGATTCATTTTTCATTAATTTCAACCTACTAAAAGACGATATCCGCAGTAGAACCAGAGTGACCGACATAGCCCAACGGATTAGTAAGCTGAAGTGGCAGTGGGCCGGCCATATAGCTCGAAGAACCGACAACCGATGGGGAAGAAAGGTTCTCGAGTGGCAGCCTCGTACCGGTAGGCGAAGTGTAGGGCGTCCCCCCACGAGATGGAGTGACGACCTGGTAAGACATGCAGGAAGTCGATGGATGCAGGTGGCTCAGGACCGTGCTTTGTGGCATTCTTTGGGGGAGGCCTATGTTCAGCAGTGGACTTGTGAAGGGCTGTAATGATGATGATGATGAATAGCACGTAAGTAATTTTATCTAATTACAGCTGCCGTTTCTTTACCACGTCGCAATTAATCTTCCTATTAAAAATATAAGTAAGGTTACCTTAATATAGTTTACCTTTTGTGTGATATATTTTTTTTAAAGTATTTCTTTTATAAAGGCTTCCATTCTATTATAATGGAATCATAGTCGTATACATATTTTACTTTTTTCAAAATGTCCTAAGTTACGTTCGATTTTATTTACGAATTTAAGCTTAAAGTCTATAATTTTGACTTAGATATTTGGGTGTATAATATAGAATGCCTCACAAGGGATATATGCCATAGTTGCCACGTTTTACGAGCTTATATTTATTTATAAGAATACACTCTGTCAACCTTACACAAATTATAAATCAACCCATTAAAGTCTCAGCCAATATACGTCCCACTGCTGGGCACAGGCCTCCTCTCATTTCTGAGAGGGTTTCAGGTCAAGGAAATGTCCGCCGCGCTGCCCCAATGCGTGTTGGTTGGCCTATAAGAGACACCTCACACTGCAAACTTTATTTATTTATTTACACTTTATTGCACCTTAATAAGAGGATTACAAAGGGCGGACTTAATGCCTTGAGGCATTCTTTCCCAGTCAACCCGGGACGTGTGGAAATTAAGTGATAGGTGGCAAAATAAAATGAACAATAGTGTAAATCCAGGAAAAAACTACTGATAAACTTAAAAATAAACTAATATTATAAATATAAATACAATAAACTTATATACTATAAAATAGAATACAGACAATATATTATATTTACATACAAATACATAAATACATAAATATATACATATTACAAATACAAATAGATATATAACATAAACCTATAAATAAAATAACAACAAAGGTAACCAAATTGACCATATTAACTATCATTAACCCTTATGTGAGTGACGAGGTACTCGGGTGCCTTTGGCATTTTCAAATTCTAAAAAAAGTATGTTTTTCGCCCTATATGTAGCTGTAACTTCCTGAGAGCTCTTAACTATTTATAAATAACATACTTTTTTAATGTTTTGACCAAGTCTACTATTTACTTACTATGTTTTGTGGAAACCAAAACATATTTTGAACTCACAATCCAGTAACGAGGTACCTGGGTACCTCTTTGTGTTTTGTGTGACTAGGAGGAAAGTATTTTTAATTTCATACAAAAATTAAATAATAAACATTTGTCGAAGTATTTTATTTCTATAAAAATTACAAATTCTTTGTTCATACAGTATTAATTACATCTCTCGAAGCAGATGTTACATGTTGGACGAGTTACTGCATGTTCATCACAAACTGGTTTTCTGCAGTTAGTGCAAGCTTTTCGAGTTTTTCTTTGCTTGCGTTTGAGTTCTCTGTATAGGTAACAACTTCCGACGACTGCAACACGCCCTGTAGAATCTCGTCTAGTTTGACTTTTATAAGTTGCATATCCAAAAGAAATTGACGGCCTAAGTTCTTGGCCAAGCACGTCCTGCATTGCAGATCTCACATGTAATTTTGATGTCACAATGCAATTTTTTGATCTCTCTTCTATATTTTTACCACACAGTTGTAGACTCAATGATTTCAAAAACTTTCTACGTCTGTCACTCGAGACCAATTGTGGGTTATGTTCCATGTAAATAATATATGCTGCCAAAGCTGCAATGTCAATGATATTGTAAAAAAGTGCTAAAGGCCACCGATTTGTTCTGCGTTTTACGGTATATTCTGCTAACAGCTTATCCATGTTGTTCACTCCACTTTTGGTTTTATTATAATATAAAATTATTTCTGGCTTGGCAGTTTCCTTATTACTTTGAATAATTGGTGACATGTGCAGTGATGACAACATTATTACTGCTTTATTCTTTTTAGGTACGTAAGAGCACACAGTTGCTTCTTTGCTAAATGCGAAATTAGAAGAATAAACAGCCCTCTCCTTGTGTGCTTGCATATTTGCAGGAAGAATCTGTTTATTTTTTCTTACCGTTCCAACTAGTGTCATATTCCACGAATTCAAAGAATGAGCCAGTTGAAGCGACGTAAAAATTATCCGTAGTTACATTCAGCCCTGAATTTTTATATTTAGCCACGAGATCTAATACAGTGCATTCTCCTACATTTGTTTGACGTATGCCAACACTTGATTTTCCTGTATATATTTGTCCATTTAGGGGGTAGGAATTACTTGCATCACAAGCCCAGTTTATTTTATGCCATACTTTTCAGGTTTTGATGGCATGTATTGAGTAAAGCGAGTCCGCCGACGATATCCATATAGCTGTTCGTCAACGGTAGTACATTGACGAGGCTTGTAGTTTCTTTCAAATTTGAAATGAACATAGTCCAAATATCTCGTATAGCAGTGGCTTTATCAGCTAACAAACGTTCAGGGCGCGTTACATCATTATCAAACCTTATGAAGCGTAGCAGCATTTTGAGTCTATCATGGGACCTCGCAGCCCGAAATAATGGTAGGTGACAGGATTTCCACAGTTCAGTCAAATGCTCCTTATTAGATCTATGCACCCCACTAAAAATTAGAATACCAAAAAATGCATCCAATTCTTGTTCTGTGAATAGTTATAATATCAGGGAAATTTTCCATCAGTTTAGTATTGTATGTTTCAGTAATCTTTGTCCCTTTCCGATTAGTTTCCCTCAAGATTATGTCACACATTTCATTGGACAATATATTTTTGAATATTTCCATTTGATTGTAAAGTTTGCTGAACGAAGCAGCCCCGCCCCGTTGACGAATAATATTTCTGCTACTAGTTTCTGTTCTGGGAAGTGATTCAGACTGCCACCGCATTCCATCTTTTGCGATAAGAATATTTTCAAGCGATTCCCCTCCAAAACTCGCATCGGAATCATAAGAATCAATCTCATTTTCGACTTCAGCTTCTGGTTCAACATCCAAAATTTCAAATCTACCCTCTTCAACTAAAGGAATATAATCATGTTCATTATCAGAAGCAACAAACTCACCTTCGTCACTAGAAGATTCTGCTAATATCTCTAGTAATTCTGTTGAATTCTTCGAACACGTGATCTTTGTTGAGAAGTACTCGCTCCAATATTCATAATGAAATAATTATAAACTCACAAAATACAAATATGTTCATACAATAGAAACAAACGTATATAGTAAAATGTCAAGCACGATGCACTGAATGGATTCAGTGTTTCTTGCGCGCCGACAACCATGTACCGCACTCCAACTCTCCTCCGCTTTTATCGCCACAGGTTGTCAACTGTTTAGCTTAGCTAAAGTAATAATATTCAAAGTATGTGTAACACAAAAGTAGATCTTGATTGTTTACATTACGTATACACTGTATGAAGGTACCCGGGCACCTCGTCACTCTGTTAAAGGTGTTTTATTTGTCATTCACATAAGGGTTAAAGTGCTTGTGTACCAATTTTTTAAAGGCAGTCTTATTAGATGTATTTCTGACGTCATCGGGCAAGGAGTTTCAGAGCAGTGCAGCCTGAATGGTGAAGGATTAACTAACAAAATTATTAAAATGTAGTGGGATACTTAGATTATTATTATATGAGGACCGCAGAGTTCTATCATGCGTTGAGGAAATATAGTGAAATTTCTCCTTGAGATAAGAAGGAGTGGATGGATCATTTAAGATAGAGAAGAGAACAAGCAAAATTCTATAGTTACGCCTCTGTTTAATAGTGAGACATTTAAGGCGAGAGCGATAGTGAGAGATATGATCAAATTTACGAAGATTGAAAATGTATCTGATGCAATTGTTGAGTAGGCGCTCTAGCTTGTTAAGAAGATTTTGGTTTTTGAACTTTCTATCTGGCAAGAGTTTAGTTGGGTTGGGCAGCTAGTTCGCTCACTAGCCAACAGTCAATAAAATATAAATAGACAAGACAATAAAATATTTATTATTATATTATTAGTTGGCCGATCGTTTGCGAAAAAATTGTAGTTAGTAAGCAGCCCTTGCAGTGACTAGTCGCGTAATGAAATCTAAAATATTGTTCAGAAATGTTATTATTATTCCTACAACGAATCAGACGGATCAAGAAGAGAAACCGAGAATACTGGGTGCATCCTATATACTGTGACAGGTTACTTCTTCCCCCAGCTTTTTATTTAAATTTATCTTCTGTCTCTATCAACTGTGAAATAGATGATTTGTCAAGCAGCGCCATTTTGATGCATGCGCACTTTCCGCGCCAAAATTTTGAGCGACGTGACGTTATCGACCGAGTCGGCCGACTAAATAATCTGCGTGTATCAAAGAGCGCCGTACTGATTTAGCAGTTGACAGATAGTTAACCAACAATTCAGTTTTAAGGGAATCGTGTAGCCCAGCAAACTGATTTATCGGCCGATAACTAATCGTTATAATATGCGCACTTGTATACATCTCAATACTGATTAAGAAACGTAGACGTAGACCCTTTTTTACTGGAAATGAGGCATTCCATCTTAGTCCTCATGGGTGACGACGCATCTGCATTTGATTCTTTATTGAGGATAAATGTAGATGTCTATGCGTCACAGCAACCACTTACCATCAGGTGGACTATGTGGTCGTTTGTCACCCTATCCTATAAAAAAAAAGAAACCATATGTAAGTGTTTGTATAATGTTCTAAACATGACAATGAAAAAGTAAGGTGGATACAAAGTTGCATCGCAAGCGATGTCCAGGTAGGAACGGTGTCTGGATATCTTATTGTAGACAGCCTTTAATCTATACTGTGAAAGGTCAGCAGTTGGTGTCAAGTGACGTTTGGTGAGGGTGACGCGCGTTTGAATGCTGCAAGCACATTTCCAATAGTGAAAAATCAGTATTTTTTCAAAATTTCCTTTTTTTTATTTTGTTGATTTTTAACAAAAAATCGAAACAGTAATAAATTAACTATTTTGGTTAATCCCATTACTGCTTGAAAATTCACGACAAAAAACATTTTTTTTGTTTATTATAACTATATCTATATACACGTCTATTATTATTATTTTATTATATTCTACCTACATTTTTATAGGATACCTGACGGTAAGTGGTTGCAGTGACCCATAGACATCTACATCTATCCTTCATAAAGTATCAAAATGCAGATGCGTTGTCACCCGTGAGGACTAAGATGGAATGCCTCTTTGCCAATAAAAAGTATTTCCGGTTCTCTACACTCACCATACGAAACACAGCAGCGTTAAGCTGCTATTTTACGGTGGTTTTCTGTGAGAGCGTGGTCCTTCCCCGGTCGAGCCGACCCATTCGTGCTACAACTATACTACTAATATAGCTGCAGCATGGCACTAACACGTAAATCACGTTATTTTAATTAATGTTAATTGCGTTAACATTAATTTAAATAACAAAAAATTGTAAGTACGACTTTTATTGCTGGCGGAGAATATATAAGTATATTGTATATTAGCGACTCGCTTTGGCTTGGCCTGGATAGCGTTATTTAGATTTAGGATATTTGAAGACAATTTATTCTATAATTTTTTTTATTTAAAAATTATATGAGTTCTTCAAATAAAATATACATATAAATATAAAAAGCCCAGATCACTCTGTTATTGCTCTCTGTCTTTTCGTGAATTTTCATTATGGTACAGCCATTCCGACGATTAGTTCGGATAGACAGACAGACAACTTGTTTGAAAGATGGTGTCTTAATAGCATACAAATAACCCCTTAGTTGAACATAAGGCAGTTATTTGAAATTACAGACAGACATTTTAATTACATTTTTAAGTAGGTTTATGTATATACAATATGTAACAGAAACCCTGTGGTTCCCGCTAAGTACGTTATCATGATCATTATTCAAACGTATAGAAATAACTTTAAAAAAACATCATAAGGGTACAACATTACGTATAAACATCATAAGGGTAGACACGTATTTCTATGCTCCGGGCTTTTTTAATTGTGAACCAATATAAAAACAAAAGATCATTGTTGTGTTATATGTTAAAGTGTAGATAGTGAACTCAGTAATATAATAGTGAAAATTGTTTATAAAAAGTTTTGCTTATTTTAAAGATATAACGAAAACCATTTTAAAAATTATACACAACGGACGAATTCTGTCATAGTACACTACGCCCGCTGCAGCGTACACTTGTGGTGAGTCATTTCTATTACCTCTGACGGCCTTTAGACACACGAGCGAAGCGGACATTTTTACATATAAACAAAGTGGACATACAATACTGCAGTACAATGACAAGAAAATGTACAAAATGCGACAAGATTATTTTTAATAGACAGTTTTTGAAATGTTCTCACTGTAAAAAATTGAATCATCTCACTTGCACGAATATCTCAGAGAAATTGTTTTATTTAATGAAACAGAAGGAAAGTCATAACTGGAACTGTGAAAATTGCAAAAATAAATGGGAAATTACAAATAACCCATCTACATCAGCTGAAATACAGGCTAATAATACATCGACACCACAAGTCTTTGCTACACGCCGGAGTAAAAATAATGCAAACATTACATCTGCAAACTCTTTTGCATCTCTCTGCTCTGAGGATTCAGATGATGATGATTTCTCTATTTCCAAAACACCGAATTTAAACAGAAGCTGTCCCGAAGCAGGTCTTATTATGAACGAGGTTTTGGATGACCTCAAAATAAAAATAGCTAACTTAGAAAATAAACTCCAAATAGCCGAAACAGAAATAGAAAATTTATTGTTGGAAAATAGCTCTCTAAAAAGACAAATTTTAAACTATGAAAAAAAGACGAATCAACTGACACACATATGTCGAACAACGCCGATAAGAAAAGGACGCAAGAGCCTAAATAAAAATAAATTTGATTTCACATGCTTAGACCAAACAAAAGATGAATTTGTTACTCAACCACATAATGAATCAGATGAAAATAAATCGTCCAGCCCAAAAAAGACACCGGAGAAGGTAAGAAATATGGATAATACTACTGAATTGCCTGCACAGGAAAGAGAAGACTCCACGGACAATACAAATGAGACGAAAAAAAA